TGCCTTTTTGGAATTTACAGTCTCGGATTTTAGTGAAGGTTTTTACATTTGTCTGTGGATATCCAGGGCTCATGTATGAGATTACTAACAAGCATAACTGAATAATCAGATGAGGGACAGTTTACTGTGTCTGCTAGGTGGCTAAAATCTGATCTTCAGAGCCTATGGTTTGGACGGTCTGCAACGAACAACTGTATTTTTGCATTATATTCCAAATGTATTTTTTTATAACCAGATAATTTATAAAATCACTATGCAAAACTCTTTGTCCAATTTTCTGATTATTATTTGGGAATTAAACTTTATAAATAGAATCACTGGATCAAAGAAAAGAAAAGATTACAGCCTTGGAATCCCTATGGGGCTATATTAATGGCATATTTGTCCTATAGGGTCCTATATATATTTGTCCTATAGGGTCATATTAATGGCAATGGGTTTATATTTGACACATTTTCCTTTGGGGCTATTAGTTTTTAAAAAATGTATTCATGAGAATTATTTGTGTATGTGTGAAACTTTTTGTATATATTAAAAGTATTTTTCATAATTTGACTTATCTTTTATTTTTGAGAGGTTTTTATATACAGAAGTTGTACATTTTTTCTCTTTTTTTGCAAATGACATACAGAAGCTGTACATTTTTTTCTCTTTTTTGCAAATGAGATTGTTGTTGTTAAGTGCCACCGTGTCAATTCCAACTCATAGTCACTCTGTATGTGATCCAGTGCTTATCCTACAACCACCCACTAGGACTCTAGTTGTAAATTTTTATGTAATAAAATGTCTAGATTTTTTTTTTCTTTATTGTATCTGTCTTCAGCATCATGTACTGAAATTACATGACTGGGCCCACACCCCCAATTATACAAAAATATTTTATCCTAAATGCTTATGTGTTTATATTTATAAATATGTATGGCTCTCTTCCTTCTTTCTCTCCTCCCTTCCGCCTCCTGCCTTCTCTCTCCGGCAGAGGTTACCTTCCTCACCCTGAATAAAAGTCTCTAGATGGGCAAAAAAAAAAAAATATGTATGGATTGCTATTACTGGTAAGTGCCTTTGAGTTGATTCTGACCATATCAGGGGTTCCAAGGAGCAGCAGTTTTAACTGCTGACCTTGTGGTTCGCAGTTGAGTGCTGATTCTACAGTGCTATACCAGTCTCTGTATATATTAATCTACATGGCGTTAATTCTGGTTTTAAAATTTGCTGTGGGACATAAAATTCAGCCTGCCTTACTAGAGCCTTCAAGATCTGTCCTGCTGACATGGGCAGGACTTCTCTCACAACTGTCCTTGTGACACTTCAAGGGACTGAAGGACTGATGCATCATAGAATACTGTTCACTCATATCTTGATGCAGTACCTTTTCACCTGCTGTTCTCTGCTTGAGTTCCTATCTCTGTTTATCTATATGTCAAACTTCTACTCAACCTTCATGGCTGTTGTTGTTGTTGTTAAGTACCGTGGAGTCGGTTCCTTCTCATAGTGACCCTGCCCAGGGTTTCTGAAGCTGCAAATCTTTATGGGAACAGAATGCCTCATCTTTCTCCTGCAGAACTGCTGGTAGTTTCGAACTGCTGACCTTATGTCCTTCATGGCTAGCTCTGATATTATCACCTTTGGGAATCCTCTTCAGTCTGACCCAGGCAGACTGGGTTCCTTTTCCTCATCTTTCCTTAGGCCTTAGCTCAATTGTAAAGCCATCACTTACTGACCAGTTGCTGGGTGGTTAACATTCACAAAACAGTCCAGCAGTCCAAAGTAATATCAGAATAACTCAAGTTTTTCACTTATATTTCTTTTTTTTTGAATATTTTATTGTGAATTATGTGATAGTTTACATGGGAGAACATTAGCTTTACACTCATCCTATCGTATATCGTTTCATTGCCATGTTTATAGTCCCCTTCATGCATCATCAGCCAACCAAGGGTATACCTTGCAAGCCTGTCCCCCGGTCATCAGCACACAGCCCCTCTCCCTCTCTGGGTCTAAAGTCCCCAGCTGCTCCATCTCTCCACGTCATCGTCTCTGCCTCCATCTC